ATAATTTTTCATTCATCTTCATTGCTGTAATATTTTAATATGAATGAATATACCACAATTTATTTATCCATTCTGCTATACTTGGATATATGGATTGGTTAGAATCAGAGGCTGACCGTTTAAATATTATCTTGCACAGGGACCAGCAATTGGTGTAATGGTTATGTTGCTGGACTCCCATGTAGTCGACCTGTAGTCCAGTTTGAGTCCTGGACCCGGTGGCTTAAACTCATGCCGGGTACGTGTGCATGTGTGCCCAAGATCCTGAGAAGAGAATGGAGGAAAAGGGACTGCAGCGTGACCACCCCACCCCCGGGGTGATTTCTCATTTCTGTCTCTGTGTCTTTCTGGCAAGTGAACGTAACCTAAAGCAAAAAGCCTCTCCAAAAAAATTTTTTTTCTTGCACATTTATTTTGGGAACATATGCACACATTTCTGTGAATATGTACCTGGAAATGGAATGCCCAGGTCACAGAATATATGAATGTTGAGTATTAGTAAACATCATCAGATTTTGAAAATTACTATACCAGTTTACATCCCTGCAACAGTATATGAGAGTTCCATTTGCTCAACCTTTTTGCCATACTGTTGGATTTTTCACTTGAATCATTTTGGTGAATATATATTTGTATTAATATTGTGGCTTTAATTTGAATATAATGCCTGCAATTTTCATTTTTCTGATGGTTAGTAAATTGGACTATTTTGATACATTAATTTATCATTCACATATCTTGTTTTGTTTGAATTACTTATTCATATTTTGATTAATTTTCATAGGTTATCTGGTTTTTTGTTAAAAATTCGAAGGAATTCTTTTTTCTTAAGAGAGATTTTTTGCTATGGGGTACATATGCTCACCAGAGAGACAGAAAGTGAGAAATCACTCCCCAGGAGGGATTGCCACACTGAAATCCCTTCTCCTCCAATCTTGTCTTGGGATTTTGGCCATGCATACACACGTGCCTAGTGTGCATTTTAAGCTACCAGGTCTGGGACTTGAACCACAATCAACTGCATGGGAGTCCAGCAACATAACCATTATGCCATCTGCTGGCCCCTGTAGGAGTTCTTTACATAGTCTCTATACTGATATACTTTGTGGAAGAATATATTGCATAGTTAATGCAAATTTCTTTGAACTCTTTAAGTGGGAATGTTTGATAAAGAAAAAGTTTGGCATTCTAATGTCATTTAATTTATCAAGGGTTTTTGCTTGATCTTTAGCATTTTAGAGCCTCTTAAAAATTTTCTGACTGGGAACCAGCAGTTAGCGTAATGGCTATGTTGCTGGACTCCCACGTAGTCGACCGCGGTTCGCGTCCCGGACCCGGTGGCTTAAAACTCACGCTGGGCACGTGTGCGTGCGTGCCCAAGATCCCGAGAGGAGAATGGAGGAGAAGGGATGGCGGTGTGACCATCCCCTCTGGGGGGTGATTTCTCACTTTCTGTCTCTCTGTCTCTCTCTGTCTGTCTGGCGAGCGCATGCGCCCTATAGCAAAAACCTCTCCAAAAAAAGAAAAATTTTCTGACTAAGGGAAATTTAAAATGAGGTTAACTGATGTAATTTTTCTGCAAATTTAAAAAATACTGATTATAATTTCAGGAAAACGTTTTAGCCTACTGTGAAGATATCAGTATTTTTTTCAAGAGTTTATTTTACCCATCACTTGTCCTCTTTCATTCACAAAAATTTCACAAAAATCAAACCTTGTATAACTTATGTATAGAAGAGCTTTCGTTTGTTCCTCTCAACCCAGCAATTCTGTTGAGTATATTTCTTATCCTTTTGTTTCTAATTGCCCTATCTTGTATTTTCAGAAATAACAGACCCCATTAGATGTGACTTTTCACTCAGCTAATTAGTGGCAGAACTAGCATTCAGAACTACACAGCCTTTACTTCAGAGATAGAGCTATTAAGCACTCTGCTAGCTTTTTTCTTTAATAATAGAAAGCAGGCATACATGTTCATGTGAGTCTGTGAAAGAGACAGAGAAAGAGGGGTACTCTTCAACAGATCATCACACTGCAGTCCTTTCTCCAGCCCTCTAGTTCATCAGGATCTTTGGTATCCTCATGTACCCAACAAGTTTTCTAGCCAACCCTGAAATCCAAATCCCCAGTTATCCATGTGGCTTCCAGCACTGCAATCCAGTATGCTACAGGACTACGCTACCTACGTTGGCCCACGTTATGCTTCTTGTCTGTCTTTTTATATCCTGCCTCTTAGTCTTCCTCCTCAGCCCACTGTAATTTAGCTTGCATGCAGATCACTCCTCTGAAACTGCTTTTGCCATATCATCAACATGTCAGTTGTCAGATATAATGGTTCTTATTCTTTTGCAGCCTTTGATATTGTTCATACATTCAGCAAATACTTATTGGGCACCATCAGTGCACCAGGCTGTGTTTTATAGCAGTAAATAGGCAAAATTGTTGTAGCTCAAGAGTACATATTTTTATCATCTGTTAATCAGTTTTTAAGAGATATTCTTTCTATAGCATGTGTATGCTTGCAGGAGAGATAAAGACAGAGACAGAAAGTAAGAAATTACTCTGGAGAGGGGATGGCCATGCCATAATCCCTTCTTCTCCATTTTCCCCTCGGGATTTTGGGCACACATGCACAAGCATCCACTGTGAGTTTTAAGTCACCAGGTCTGAGACTTGAATCACTGTCAACTACGTGGGAGTCCAGCCATGTAACCATTATGCCATCTGCTGGTTCCATTATCTGTTGTTATGAAAGAGTCAAAAGTCTTCAGTTCTTTTTCTGCTTGTTACTATTGACTTGTTTGTAGATGATTAATAACCTACTTTATTGTTTCATACGGTTTTTGTTGTTGTTGTTGTTGTTGTGATTAAAACAGGTTTTGTTGTTTATTTATGGCTTCACAACATATGAAAATATCATATTTACGTACTATTTTTGCTTCTTTCTCTAAATAGAAATCTGAACCTTTACAAGCAATTGCTGTGAATACAAGTCAGTGTACCAAATCCTGAAGCACACAGCCCTTCTTATAAAATTATTAAAGATGAGTTATGAAAAATTAATCATCTTTGATGTTTTACATACCTTTTCTGTATGAGGATAATTCGAATTAATTAGATACTCCCTATTTTGAAAACACCAGGAATCTCTCTGCAGAATATTAAGTTTTTTTCCATATGTTCAAATACAAATCTACTCCAAAGAAAATATTTAGCTCTGTGGAGACATGGTGGTAGCTTTTTGCATATCTTCAATGCTAAGCATTTGAGCCAGAGTTGAAGGAAAAGAATTGTTTTGTCTCTTTCCACATGTCTGTGGTTATTTTCTGTGTTTTCATTCCTTTCCCTCAGATCAGTAAAGAAGAAAGAAAAAAAATTATGTTTTCATGCCAAAAAATAGCTCTTGTTTTATTAGTTCTAATGGGAATGTGTTTTGCTTGATGATTGGAAGCAACTCTAATCCTCTTGCATACATCCAGGGTTACAGTTTTTGTCTGATAGCTATTTGTTTATAGCAGCAGTTAGCAATTTGCATGGCCAGTTCTGTCAAAGTCACTGTCATCTATGAAACTCAAATGTCTCTTGGAAGAAAGATGACAGATTCAGCCCAGCAATTTGCAAAACTTTCAAAGTGATTGCTTGTCAAACACTTGAAAAACAACACCCCTCTCTATAACTTCAGGGGGAAAAAATAAGAAATTATCTTACACCAGATGGCAATTCCTTGCAAGAAAAATAGGTCTGGACTGATTCAGCTCTATTCGTGTTCCTTTGCAAAATCCATAAAAATACACATTTGGGGCCACTTTTCAGGACTGGAAATAGTCTGCTTTGTAGAGGGAAATCATGTGGATGCAAAAAGCCACAGTCAATGAAGGTCTTAGATCCCAGGGTCCTGAAACGAGATGCATTGTACTTAAATGGTAGGTCATCACTTAGAACATGGCCTGGGCCCAAGAAACATCCCAGTTGTTGCCAGGCTTGGTTACTTGATTAAATTTGGTTAAAACCAAAACAAATTGGGGAAAGTTTATTATTTCTTGTTGACTAGACTTCTTTAGGGGAAAAAAAAGGAAGGATAAGAAAAAAAGAAAGAGCAACGAAGGAAGGAAAGAGAAAAGGGAAAATAAAGAGGAGGAAATTGGAACTAGAAACTATAAAAAAAGAAAGAGCAATGAAGGAAGGAAAGAGAAAAGGGAAAATAAGAGGAGGAAATTGGAACTAGAAACTATAAAAATGCCCTTTGGGATGATGGGATGATAAAGTAATTTCTAAATTTCAAGTCACTCTATATATGAAGAATTCAACCTTTCAACCTTTAATTTTTAAATCCAATAGCATTCTCTACCATTAACATGTAAGTTATTATAGCTGCTTTCATATATTTAGGTATTAATTAGAGAGGACTTAGAACGTGAGTGTTTGCGGGGGTGTTTTCTTAACAAGCTTGTCTTTGTTTTACTTACTTCTTTAGGTGTGGGGGGGTACCCTTGACAAGGTCTCGCCACACTGTGATCCTTTCAGCCTCCCAGCAAGCCATGATTACAGACACAAGCAGGCACACCTGGTGTGTTCAGGTTGACCCAGGATCCAAATCTCCAGCCTCCTGTGTGGTTCTCACATTGTATAACAGTGCCCTACCTCATGTGCCATGTAGCTGGCTCAGCTTAGCTTTTAAAAGGTGGAATAGAAGCCTCAGGACATCATAAAGTCTTTTCATGGAAGTTGTTGAAACGGAGTCTGATCAACCACTTGCTAGGGTTGTTGTGGAAAGGATTTAAATACCAGACTAAGTAACATGTCAGTTGTTTTTATGATTTCTTCTTCACCCAAGAGTCTATTCATCATAAATCAGAACTAAGTCCCCTTTACCTGTCTCTTTTTAAATAGTTTTGATTTGAGGCATTTTCAGCCATTGAAGGTAATACTTGCTATCTATTTTGTCTTATATAGAAGAAAACATTGGCCTCCTTTCTTAATATTCTGTTTTATTTCTCTAGGTTCCTGAACACACACAATTAAGTTGGATCCTTACCTGCATGGTCAGACTACCTCGATTACAACATTTACACCAGTGGAAGGTAAATGCCAGTGATTCAAATAATAAACAGAAAGGAAATTGTTTTCCCTTTCTGGTTACTTTTTATTGTCAGTCTGTGAGCTCCTGAGTTTATTCTCCTCCCTGGTCTGCTACTCACTAGTGACTGGAACAGCATCTTTACCCTCTAGGTTCAAGGTATTAAACAGAACATAAGAGGCTTCTCCAGGATTCCTTCCCACTTTCAAATTCTTTTAACTGTATGTTTTTACCCATGTATGATCAAATCAGAGTTACTTTTGGATAGACTTGGTAATGCTTGAATGATGGGTGTTCAATGTTTTTGCAATCTCTTGTGTATGTAGCATGGTTTTGAAAACACCAGACTCCACACAAGTTTGATCACCCATCAAAAATTGTTGGAACCAGGACCAGCAGTTAGCATAATGGCTATGTCGCTGAACTCCCATGTAGCTAACTGCAGTTCGAGTTCTGGACCCGGTGGCTTAAACTCACACCCAGCACGTGTGTGTGTGTGCCCAAGATCCTGAGAGGAGAATAGAGGAGAAGGGATTGTGGCATGGCCATCCCCAAATGGGGGTGATTTCTCGCTTTCTGTCTCTCTGTCTCTCTCTGTCTTTCTGGCGAGCACACGTACCCTATAGCAAAAACCTCTCAAAAAAAAAAAAAAAATCTTGGAACTTGGATGGAATGTGCTGCCATACCTACCATAACTCACCTGACCTTGCACTATCAAACTGCACTTGTTTTGCTCTTGTCAAAACTCTTTGTGTGTAATAACATTAAATTCCAGATGAGGTTGTAAATCAGCATCTTGTTCAGTTTTTCACTGATAAAGACCAGGTCCTTTTTTTTTTTTTTTTTTGGGAGAAGGGCACATGCACTTGCCAGAGAGACAGAAAGAGAGAAACCATCCCCCAAGGAGGATGACCACACCACAATCCCTTCTTGGGCATGCATGCACACACTCCCAGCATGAGTTTTAAGCTGCCAGGTTGGAGGACTCAAACCATGGTCAACTTCAGGAGGAGTTCAACAATGTAACCATTACGCCCTCTGCTGGTTCCCAAGGCAGGTCCTTCTATGAACAAAGAATTATGAAGCTCACTGAAAGATGGCAAAAGGTTATTGGGCATTATATCATTGATTGTTCTTTATATAAATAAATGATATTTGGAAACAGAAAAAATACATCTTGACTATTCTGACAACCCAATAGCACTCATCAAGATGGATATAGTGCCCTTCAAGAGACTTATAGTCTGTTTGGTTCAAGAGACTAGTAGTCTGTTTGGGAAGAGACAATTAAACAAGTAGTAAGAGAGTGCTATGTGGGTGGAATTGCAGTGCTGTGGGGGACTCTGATAAGAGAACATACCTTGGTTCAGTGAGGGTTGGAACAGCAGGCTAGAAGGATGGGGTCAGGGTTGTCAAGGTCAGCGTTACTTAGGGGATTAATGAATAACACCTACGGAAGGCATCTGGGGCACAAAATAGGCACTCAGCAAATATTAATATTCTCTGCATCTCCCCCCTTTTCTTGTAATTTAAAAATCCAGTATTCTAGTCTACTATTCTATTCATCAGAAAAGTCATGATACATTTTTGTATAGAAAAACAGAAAAATACATCATGACTTTTCCAACAACCAAATAACATGAAAAGACTGTAAGTCTAATGCAATAGGGACTTTAAAAAATTAATTGTTGGGGCCAGCAGGTGGCATGGTGGTTAAGGCGCTGGACACTCCCACATGGCTGACTGTGGTTCGAGGCCCAGACCTGACAGCTTGCTTTCTCATTTTGCTTCTCTCTGTATTTTGCTCTGGTCAAATTCAAATAAATAAATGAATAAATAAAATTTAAAAAAATTATTTTCCTAATTACTTATTTCCAGATTAAACTTTCAATTATATTTACCAGTGATAATTACAAACTAGCCTTTACTGTGAATATTTTAATACAGCGATGTACTGAGGAATTCTATGTTCACACTTTCAACTTTCAATGGCATATAGCACTGGTTGCTATAGGCCAAAACTTCTGGAGGGGTAACCAAAACAGTTAAATTTGTAACATAATTAGGGAATATTGCAATGAGATGATGAAAGAAAGCAGCTGTTACTTTTGCCCTTAAAGGAAATGTCTGCGAATTGGCGGGGGAAGACCAAGTTATGAGCTCACGAGCCTGGCACTCAGAATCATGAAAGTTTATAAATTCAGTTTTTCAGTTCATTTGGAAATAATTGACCTTGAGGGAAGTGATTCACATCAACTAAATAAATAAAACTTATTTGTACATTGAAATATCCATTTATTTTACATAAGATGCTATACCTCATTCTTGGAACTACTACACATAATATTATCTTCAAATAGGTATTTCTACCCAGAGAACTAAATTGTATGTCAGCAATGTTCAACTGCAGCGAGGAAGTTAATGTCACAAGGGTTTGTGTTCAATGGGGACACACTAGTACTTTATAGTTGGCACTTATTCCTCACCAGCTATTAAATATTTCTAATATCGCCATTCCACCAAATTCTTTAGAAGGAAATACTTTGGTTTATAAACCTACACTGCTCATTGGAGTCACTTACCCTTGCTGCTTTAGAATTCTTTTTCTTTTTTTTTAAGTTTTGTCATTGTTGTTGTTGTTATTGCAGGAGGTAGAGGGGGAGAGGAAAAGAGAGAGACAGGGACCCCCCACCCCAGGATTTTGTCACACCACAGTCTTCCCCTAGCCTTCCACCCATCACGTCCAAGTCAACCCAGGATCTTAATCTTGCTCCATACAGCTCCAGTGTCATGCAGTGGTGCCCTCCCGCTGGTACCACTGAGGCTAGGCCTGCTTTAGCCTTCTTCATCATCTAAAGATCAAGATAGATCATCAGAATTGGTTAGATTAAAATGTGTCTTAGTAGTTTCATTCTGTTTTTATACTCTTTTACTTACATTTAATTGCTATCCGTCTTCACGGGGTACAATACTGTTTTTCAAAGAATGCTTGCTGTGTGTGATAATCAATCAAGGCTATTACCTAATTCATCATCTTCAGCAAAGAACATTGTGTTCTGCACCTCTCTCTTCATTCTGCTAGGTTTGTTTTATTTTGTTTTGAGATTATGGGTATGTTTTATTTTTTAAATGACATGATTTTTGTCTTCCGTGTTTTTAAATGTGATTTTAAGGGGACATTCCAATTTCGTTAATAGCATGGTACAAGATTTGGGGTGGGGGGGTTCTACAGATAAATAAAAGGATTTTTTATGTTAACTCATGTTAATTTGTAAAAATTTAATTTCACAATAATGTCTCATCTTGCCTGTGAAATCTGGAATTTATTGATTTGTGACCTAGAAAACTCCTATGTCCTTATTTTAACAAAATGCATAAGGAATAATGGCAGTGTAAGATCCTTTAAAGAAACAGTTCTGAAGTGTATTTATCTTATTCTTACCTAAGCCTAGAGCAAGCCTGCTAGAAGATGGCTAGAATTGCTAAAAGGACTAAAATATAATCTTATTGCAGGTGACTTCAGGTCATACATTCTTTACTTCAAAACTTTCTTAATTTAGCAGTTTAATTAGGCTCAAATCAGATTTCTGCCCCTCCTCTCTTTTTGCTCCCCACAGACAAAGTCAGCCAAGCAGAAGCAAGATGGGACCGCAGGCCTGCTCACATACCCAGTGCTCCAGGCAGCTGACATTCTGTTGTACAAGTAAGGAGAGAGCCCACTCCTGGGACTGGGCGTACTCATGATGGCAAGAAAGTGTTTTACTCTGACAACATCTTGGTTCATGGGGGGAGAGGTTCAGAAACAGTCAGGCATGTGAATCAGTTTCTATCTGCTCTCCAGTGATAACATTTAAGTGTTATTAAATAGCACTTACTATGTGTTGGATACTGTTATAAATGCTTTATAAACACTAATTCTTACAATATCCTTAGAAAATTTACACCATAATCATCTCCATTTTACAGATGAGGAAACCACACGCCAACCAAAGTTTCAGTCTCAGACTAGGCAGTTTGTTTTCTCTGTCTCTTGCTGGTGAAATTAAAAAATAATAATGATAATAAAAATAAATAATTAATTATACAAATAATAGGAATAATAACCATCTTGGCACAAGTTGGCCCCATACATCAAATGTATGGTGAGATCACTGATACATTACAAACAATTTATAATTCCCCCAAGAAATCAGCAGTCCACAAATGATAACTTTTTTTTTTTTTTTGCTATAGGGCTCATGTGCTCACCAGAGAGAGAGAGAAAAAACATGAGAAATCATCTTACAGGGGGGATGGGCATTCCACAATCCCTTCTTTTCCAGTCTCCTCTCAGGATTTTGGGTGTGCACATACACAGACCCAGAGTAGTTTTTAGGCCTAAGGGTCTAGGACCCAAACCATGCGGTCACTCATGTGGGATGCAGTCCCTTAACCTCCATGCTACCTGGTAGCCCGGGTAACTCACTTTTTTTTTTTTAAAGAAATTATTTATTTTATTTTATTTATTTATTTTTAATTTAACCAGAGAAAGAGAAAGTAAGAAAGCAAACCACCAGGCTCAGGACTCAAACTGCAGTCATCTGTGTGGAAATTCAGCACCTTAGCCACCACGCCACCTGCCAGCCCCTAATTCTTTTTTTTTTCCCCCCTAAATAAGTCAGGTAGTTTTTTTTTTTAGAATTATTTTATTTAACTTTATTTATTTATTTTTAATTTGACACACAAGATTGACAGAGAGAGAGAGAGAGAGAGAAAGCCAGAAAGCCGAGTGCCAGATCCAGGACTCGAACCGCCATTGGCCATGTGAGAGTCCAACGTCCTTAACCATCATGCTACCTACCAGCTCCTAGGTAACTCATTTTTAGGAAATGATGAAATAAGAACCAGCAGGTGGGGTGGTGGTTAAGGCGCTGGACTCCCACATGGCCAACCATGGTTCGAGTACTGGACCTGATGGCTTGCTTTTCCACTTTCTCTTTCTCTTTCAGTTTCTCCCTCTGGTCAAATTAAAATAAATAATGAATAAATAAAAGTAAATAAAATAATTACAGAAAAAAGATGTGGCTTTTAAAAAAAATAGAGAAGAAGTGATGAAATAATGTTGAAGGTGATATCCACAGTAGCAGACCATCCACACCAATTTGTGAGTAGAGATTTAGTCTTGTTCATGCCTTAATTGAGCAGGACCACTTATTAACAGCAGAAACAGTAGCCAATTCATAGACACTAGCTAGACTAATTAAGAATAAAAGAGGGGCTGTGAGGTGGTGTGGTGGTTAAGGTGCTAGACTCCCACATGGCCACCTGTGGTTTGAGTCCCAGAACTGGTGGCTTGCTTTTTCACTTTCCCTTTCTCTTTCTCTGTCTCTCACTGGTCAAATTAAAAAAAATGAATGATAATAAATAAAAGTAAATAATTCTTAAGTTAAAAAAAAGAATAAAAGAAAGAAGACCCAATAAATAAAGCCAGGTATGAAAAAAGGAGCTGTTACAGCTTATTTGATATAAATACAAAGGCTCATTGAGGATTATTATCAACAGCTATCTGACAACAAAATAGAAAACCTAGGGCAACCAGCAGTTAGCGTAATGGCTATGTCACTGAACTCTCATGTAGTCGACCGCAGTTCAAGTCCCGGACCTGGTGGCTTAAACTCACACCAGGTGCATGTGCGTGCGTGCCCAAGATCCCAAGAGGAGAATGGAGGAGAAGGGATTGCGGCGTGGCCATCCCCCCTGGGGGGTGATTTCTCGCTTTCTATCTCTCTGTCTCTCTCTGTCTTTCTGGCAAGCGCACGCACCCTATAGCAAAAACCTCTCCAAAAAAAAAAAAATGTAAAAATAGAAAATCTAGGGAAAATGGATAAGTTTCTGGACACTTTCAGCCTACCATGATTGAACCAGGAAGTAATAGAACATCTGAACAGACCAATAATGAGTGAAGAGATTTAATCAGTAATAAAATAAGTCTCTCTACATTTAAAAAAATGCAGAACCAGATGACTTCACTGTTGAATTCTCCAAAAATTCTAAAGGACTAACACTAATTCTTATTAAACTATTTCTAAAAAAAATCAAGGGAAGTGAATTCTCCCAAACTTACTCATAAGGCAAACATTACTCCGAAAAAAAGAAAAGGAAGAAAAATTTTAAAAGACATAAGAAAAAAAAAAAAAGATCTATAGGCACCAGCAGGTGGGATGGTGGTTAAAGCACTGGACTTCCACATGGCTTACCACAGTTTGAGTCCTGGACCTGGTGGCTTGAAACTCACACTGAGCCCATGTGCATTTGTGCCCAGAATCCCAGGAGGAGAATGAAGGAGAAGGGATTATGGCATGGCCATTCCCCCTGGAGGTGATTTTTCACTTTCCCTCTCACTGTCTTTCTCTGTCTTTCTCCAGTGAGCCTATGCACCCTATGACCAAAAAGGAAAAAAAAAAAAACAAAAATCTTTGGAAAAAAAATCTATCCATAATGGAATATTATTTGGTCATTAAAAATAATGAAATCCTGTCATTTAAGGCAACACAGATGAGGCTGGAGGATCATATGTTAGGTAAAATAAACCAGCCCCACAAAGATAAATAACATGTTTTCACTCACTCATACATGGACACTAAAAAATAAACAAACTGACATTATAGAAAGAAAAAGTAGAATAGTGGTTACTAGAAGCTAAGGAGATTGGGGGAGATAGGGAGATGTTGGTTAAAGGATATAAAATTACAGTTAGATAGAGCTACCTTCTAGTTTTCTATAGCATAGCAGGCTAACTACAGCTAGTAAGAATTTATTGCATATTTCAAAATAGTTAAGAGAGAGAATTTTAAATGCTCCTTACACAAAGTAATGGCAAATGTTTGAGGTGATAGATTTGCAAATTATCCTAATTCAGTCATATACACTATATTAATGCACTGAAAAACTACACTGCACCCAACCAATATATGTAATTACCGTGTCAGTTAAAGGGGACCAGCAGATGGTGTAATGGCTATGCCACTAGAATCCCACATGGCTGACTATGGTTCCAACCCTGGACCTGGTGGCTTGAAACTCAGACCAGGTACATGTGTGTTCATGCCCAAAATCCCAAGAGGAGAATGGAGAAGGGATTGTGGCGTGACCATCCCCCCTGGGGGTGATTTCTCACTTTCTGTCTCTTTTTCTCTCTCTGTCTCTTTGATGAGTGTACACACTCTATAGCAAAAATCTCTCTCTAAAAAAATTAGTAAGTACAATAATAATTAAAGGAGTAAAAATTTTAGTGTTTCTAAACCTGCTTTGGGAACTTCCAGTTCTTGAATTGCATCCATTCTTTGAGAGACCAGTGTCCTAGATTTCCATGACATCCAGGAGCTGCTGACTGTTTCTCACTTCTACAGTCCGCTGAGTTTCATTTATTTCTCCTCAACTGCTCAAGCAATAATTCTCTTCTTTCTACTTTCCAACTATTAGGCAAGTACCTACCCTCAATGTAGTTTCCAGTCTACTGACCCTTGAAAAATCAAGAGGTAACAAAGAAAAAAAAGGATGGTACTGAGTTGTCAACAGATAATTCAGTAATTTTCCAAATAGTCATGGGAAGCTATCAGACATTTTGAGGACAAAGTTAATTTGTTTGGATTTACATTTTTTTTTTCCGTTGAGAGAGATTTTTGCTATAGAGCCCGTGTGCTCAACAGAGAGACAGAAAGTGAGAAATCACCCCACCTTCAGAGGGGATGGCCATGCTGCAATCCCTTCTTCTCCATTTTCCTTTTGGGATCTTGGGCATGTACACCCACACACACACACACACACCCCATGAGCTATAAGCCACAGATCTGGGACTCGAACCATAGTTGACTACATGGGAGTTGAGCAATGTAACCATTACACTATCTGCTAGTCCCTGGATTTACACTTTTAAAAGAAAATGAATCAGGCCAGTGGGTGAAGTGGTGGTTGGGGCACTGGACTCCCACATGGCCAACTGTGGTCAAGTCCCAGATCTTGTGGCTTGCTTTCTCACTTTCTTTCTCTCTTTCTCCCTCTCTAGTGAATGCACATGCCTTATAGAACTTGAGAGGGAAAAAAATAATAATAAACATAATAATTATAATAAATACTTTTATTTTAAAAAGAGAATGGATTAAAATATAGAAAATTAATTAGAGGAGGACAAGAACACTGGGCAGTCTAATTTGAGACTATTTCATTAGTCTCCTTAGGACCATGATGTTGACAGTGAAGATGAAAGTAGTAATCAAATGTAAAAGGTATGGATTGGATGGGTATCTAAGGGAGGTATCAGGGCTTACTTATACAACTAGGTTGATGGCATTCCCATTCACTGAGATAGAAAGTAATAACAGAGGGCTAGCCAGAAGAATTTATCATTTCATTCAGTGTTCTCTCTTCTCCTAGAGGCCTTCTATGTCTAGAAGGCAAAATATTATATCTTTCACTGTACCCAGCACCAGCTGTTTCCAGAGTGGTTCTTCAGTAAGTCATTGCTGAAGTAGAGAGACCTTATGGCATGCGTATTCAACAAGCAATGCGTGAGGGGAATTAGTCCTTCATGACAGGAGAGTCAAGCTGCTACGCCAGCCAGCCTGGTTAAAGGCAGCAGCAATGAAAACTCACGAACACAGCCAAAGAAGTAGAAAACAATAAATAAATAAGAGAACAGATCTCTGGGAGCAGATATATGCAGGCAATGATTATTCATCTGGATACTAATTCTGCCAGAAGGATGGGGTGGATCCCAAGTAAATGTAGATGCAATAGGAACTGGGCAAAAGAAAAATGGTTTTGTCACCAAAGCAGAAGATCAGACGCATTATTATATGACAGAAGTTATAACAATCAAACTATAAAAGACTTTTGTTTTATGTTGTGTCTAAGAAAGCACAGTCAGGGTAAGTAAAAAAAAAAAAAAAGAAGAAGAAAATGGAGAAAAAGAGTAGACATATTAATATGGATGTCATTATATAGAGTATAAATTTTAAAAGAACAGCACTAAATTATTTGAAATGAAAGGAAGGCTGTGAGGAGAGAGGTTGAAGATGTGAAGAGAATAAGTCCCATAAGTGAGTAGAATCAAAGACAGGCTGAATTAATGTAAAGTGTAAACTCAATGGATGAGAAGTAAAGGCCAATATAAATTATAGGAGGTGAAAGGAGCAGCAGCCAAGGGAGGAAAGACTAGAAACAAACAAACTGAAGTCAGATGAAAAAGCCAAGTGCAGCAATAGGGCCAGGTGAAAAAAATTAAAATTTTTTAATCTTTTTTTTTTAAAGAAAACAAAAAAGCATAACACCATAAGAATTTTTTTTTTTTAAAGAGGCAAGGATCCGACATAAGGCAAAGATGCGTGCCGAGTCATTATGAAAACTAAATGTGTTTTCTGTTTAGTTTGGTTGCTTTGTGAGTCTGGAACCATTTTGACATGTGGAAATATTCATTTTTGATGTGCTTAAAGTGTATTGATTATGGTAATTGTTTTTTCTGTGTTAGTTGCAGTCCATTGTGATTTCCTATGGGCTACTGTAATTGCTTTTTAACTTGCTCTGTTGGCTAATTTGGTTTGGGGGAGTCAAGGTGACCTGGACAAGTCAGCCTCACTATAATTACAGACTAGAGTAACAAAGTCCAGTCAAAGAAGAGAGATTTACAAAGGTGTGGTGTGTGCATGTGTGTATCTCAGAGGGCAGCCTGCACAACACCATGCAGGTATGGGAAATACAAAAACTATCATTTTTATTTTTATGACTTCTTGAGGATTGAGGCAGTGCGGCTTTTTGCTCCAGGCTTTGTAGAAGAGAGCAATGGGCATGGCCCTAACAATCATTTTGTAGAGTTTCCTACATTTGTTTACTGACCTTAAAAGAAGAGAAATCACTTTCTGACCTAACATTATGCTTCCTGCATTTTGCCTTTCCATCCATTGTTCTCTCCCCGTGTTCCTGATTTGATGATTACACAACGTGTACATGTGTCAAAACATCACTTTGTATTCCCCACAAAATGTATAATTATGATGTGCAAATAATATTTGAAGGAAAAGAAAGCATGCTCAAAATTTCTATACCATATCATTTATATTTGAGACTTATCTGATCAGATAGCAAACTATCAGTTTCAAGTATGTTTTTCACCCATCTCAGGCTTGCTGCCCAGGTCTATGACTGTCTCTGGGGATTATGCATTGACACTGTGTTTGTAGTGTGAGTGAGCTATGAAAAAGGAAAATGACCATCACTTCGAAATAGTTAATAGATGGGGGACAGCCTTTAGTAAGAAAGGGTGTAACAGATTTCTCCTCTTAACGAGGATAAATTGGATCAAATGTATGATCTCTAGACAGGAAAATGATAAAGAAGAAATAGTGATTTTCAAGATTAAGCAAATCGAAGTAATAAAATACATAAACGACAATGTGAAAAGAAAAGAAAAGGAAAAGGATCTTGTTTGAAAAAGTCACAACCTACCCACATCAAGGTCTCTTACAATATTATCTTTACCATTCTGTGCTTCTTTATGTCAGATACTAATGATTACATATTTTTTAGTGTTTTTTGTTTTTGTTTTGCTATAGGGCACGTGCACTCACTGAAAACACAGGGATGGGGTTGTGGTGAGAACGCAGCCCCGGGGGGATGACCATCCTGCAATCCCTTCTCCTCCAGATCCTCTTGGGATTTGGGGCACGGACACAAACCACCAGGCTTCAAATCATGGTCAGCCATGTGGGATCTAGCTGCCTTAACCATCACACTACCTAGCCAGGCCTCTTTTTTTATGTGCACTTGTTTAAGAATGATACACAGAGAGAGAGAAGGACAATGAGGAAGCACCCACTAGGAGTCATGTCACACTGCAATCCCTTCTTCTCCATTTCTCCCTCCTTTCCGGATTTTGGGCCCACGTGCACATGCACCCAGCATGTTTTCAAGCTGCTGGATCTAGGACTTGAACGGTGCAGTTTGCCAGGAGGGATTGAGCTGCCTTAACTACCATGCCACCGGCTGGCCCAAATGAATAGATCAGTATCTCATAGCAATAGTTAGCATTCATTGAATCCTTATTACTAAATGCCATGCTTGGTTATCCTTGAAACAACCATAGGAGGTAAGCATCAGTATGAATCTCACTTTACAGAGAAAATGAAACTTAGAAGGGATGTGGGTGCTAGGAAGGGAATCAAGGGGAGAAAAAAAAAACATTCAATGGACAAAATAAAATGGAAAATTATCTGGTGGTGGCAATATGTATGGTAATTTCTTTGCTTGGACTAACATACAGGGTATTCATGCTAGGAAAATTCATTTTCAATGTTGTAAAGACATCTAGTGATTGACTGTAAAAAGGAAGAAATATAAAATAAAAAAAGAAGGAATAAAAACAAAATTTAACCCACTTTCTTTCATAGAAACAATATTAAACTTCCTCAATCAAGAAAGCACAGCATTTTATTTTATTTTTTAAAGAATTTTTAAAAATTTAACTTTATATATTTATTCTTCCATTTTTATTTGACCCGAGAGGGAGAGAGAGAGAAAGTGAGAAAGCAAGCTGCCAGGTCTGGGACTCGAACTGTGGTCGATCATGTAGAAGTCCAGCGCCCTTAACCACCACACCACCTGTCAGCTCCAGGACAGCACCTTATTGCTTGTATTATCAAATAAAACTCCACCTCCAGGACAGCATTTTATTGCTTGTATTATCAAATAAAACTCCACAGTCAAGCATTAAATACTTAAAATTTGCTGTTGCTTCCCACAATAACACTTCAGTATAACATTTTCCCCACTGAGACTTCTCTATAATGGTTAATTCTTCCCTTATTTACCTACCTTACCATCATCTTACCCTACAAGCTGTATAGGTGGGATTAAAATAATTATAAACAGATTACCTGTAGTCTGATTTTTTTTTTTTTTTGAGAGAGGCTTTTGCTATAGGGCATGTGTGCTTGCCAAAAAGACCTAGAGAGACAGACAAACAGAAGGCAAATCACCCCAAAAGGGGGATGGCCATGCCACAATTTCTTCTCCTCTGTTCTCCTCTCGGGATGGGCATGCACACACACATGCCTGGTGTGAGTTTAAGTCACCAGGTCCAGGAATCCAACCACAGTCAACTACATGGGAGTCCCGCAACATAGCTATTATGCCTTTAACTCTTTGTTGTTGTTTTTATTGACAAGAGGTACATGAGCTCCTCAGAGAGAAGGAAAAAGCCCTCCAATGGGTTATGGTCACACCACAATCCCTTCTTCAATTCTTCATCTTCTTGGGATTTGGGCACACATACACATACACCTAGTGTGTTTTCCAAGCTGCTAGGGCCAGGATTTGAACCCTGCAGTCAGCTATGTGGGATCCAGATCTCAACCACTGGTATTTTTTCTTTCAAATCATTTTATAATAAAATAAATATTACAGATAAAATGTAGGTCTCCTGTATCCTTTGTTCCTTTACTCAGACCCTTTTCCTTCCCTCTTTCTCTAGCAGTAGTTATAAAGACAAATTTGGGAAGGAATTTCCCATGTGCTTTTACACTTATTGCTATAGATATATGCATCTATAAACAGCATATATTTTCTTATATTTTTTAAATTTATATCGATATCAGTGTACTCCACCTGTTTTCTATAAGTTGCTTTTTTTCATTCCACATTGTTTTTGAGATCTGTCTACATTTTACTTATAGATTTTGCTCATTTAAGTTGCCTGCAGCCTATTAGTTCCCCTGTGATTGTAATTTATTTGAAAACGAAGTAGCATAGTCCAAAAATGATCTTGATGGGAAAGAAAAACTTCCTGAAGAGCTTTCTGCCCTCTTTGATTCAAGAGGGGAATGGATGTCTTTCAAGTGTGAGCCCTGCTCTGAGGTATAAAGCATCTGCTCAAAGCCCAGATAATATGTGCTGACTAGGTGAGGGAATAAGGAGTGGTTTTAAAACACAATTATGCTTAGAGCATATGCTGTTTAAGATCCCATTCCTTCCTCCTAGTAATGCCGTCACATAGTGCTGATGGCTGTATTCCTCTGCTATGGAAGAAACAGAACCAGAGTAGACAAACATCTCTTTGGCATGTGTCTGATACACAGAGAAAGACCTGGGTCTCAACATTCCCTCTGTAGTTGATGAACATTTGTTGAACACCAGCAGTGAAACAGGCACAGGAAATGCAGCTGCTCGCAATATCATTTCCACCTAAGAAGGAGCCTTGCTGAGTTTTTCTGTCTGTCTTTCATTAAAGGTCCACACACGTTCCTGTCGGGGAGGATCAAGTCCAGCACATGGAACTAGTTCAGGATCTAGCACAAGGTTTCAACAAGAAGTATGGGGAGTTCTTTCCGGTGCCCAAGTCCATTCTAAGTAAGTAACAAATGTATGATTATTAAATCAGGGCACCTTTTGAAGAGAGGATTGGATAATAGATGGAGACTTGGAACTTTTTGGGACTAAATTTGGCTTTCTTGTAGACAGGATTTAAGATCTGTAACTTCTGTAATGCAGAACCAGTAGAATGTACTGGGTTATTAAAAAATAACAAAAAATGTATGAAAAGTTTGGAAGGGGCTAGAAATTGAAATAATTTTCATGTTCAAAAATATTATATAGCATACAGAATATTTGTCTATCTAAAAACTCATTTCATAAAGCAAATATATTTCCCTATTTTATGAATAAGGAAGCTAAGGTTTGGCCAGGTTAATTTTGTGTCCAGATCATGTGTTCAATTAATGGAGGTTCCACAGCTAATGTACCCCACCTTCCCAAATATTGACAGCAAACCAAAAGTCATCAGAGTAAGAACTGCTGAATCATAATCTAGATAAAACAAGAGGGAATTAATAATCCTTGTCCTCTCTGGAACCAGCAGTTAGCGTAATGGCTATGTCACTGGACTCCCATGTAGTCAACTGCGGTTCGAGTCCCAGACCCTGTGGCTTAAACTCACGCTGGGTGCATGTGCATGCGTGCCCAAGATCCCGAGAGGAGAGTAGAGGAGAAGGGATGTGGCGTGGCCATCCCCCCTGGGGGGTGATTTCTTGCTTTCTGTCTCTCTGTCTCTCTCTGTCTTTCTGGCGAGCACACGTGCCCTATAGCAAAAAACCTCTCCAAAATAATAGTAATAATAATCCCGTCCTCTGTCTCCTTAAATGAACAATAATGATCAAATGTGCGATCTACCTACTGAATCAGAAAGCTAACTAGTGAATCAGAAATTGAGGCTATGCTAGTCTGGAATCTTTTTGAGGAAAGAAGCTTTAAATCTCTCTGGACATTTTGGTAACAGTGTGAACTTGTGGAAGGGGCAGAGATCACTGACCGTAAGCACTGTCTGTCTTTATTAAGCCCACAGCATTGTAAATGAGCATAGCATGTGCCCCATAATACTGTAATATAGAAACATAAGGCAGGTATATATCTTTAAGTTACTCCAACAGTTAACATACATAAGTTCGAAGGACCCCACACATTAAAATCAACCTTTCTTTAAGCCATAAGTAGTGTTTAAACATTTTAGCCTATTATTTTATCCATTTTAATTTTATATGCTTCTATAATAGCCATAAACTAGGCAATTATTAGTAACACTGGTTTATGAAGCACAGCTTAACATCTTGATTCTATCAGAGCAATAAATAAGTCCTTTCTTTTTTTTTTTTTTTTTTTCCTAGGGCGCATGCGCTCGCCAGACAGAGACAGAGAGACAGAAAGCGAGAAATCACCCCCCCAGAGGGGATGGTCACGCCGCAATCCCTTCTCCTCCATTCTCCTCTTGGGATCTTGGGCACGCACGCACACGCACCCGACATGAGTTCTAAGCCACCAGGTCCTGGAGGCGAACCGCAGTCAACTATATGGGAGTCCAGCGACATAGCCATTACACTAACTGCTGGTTCCCAATAAGTCCTTTCTCGTGTGTGTGTGTGTGTGTGTGTGTGTGTGTGTGTGTGTGTGTTGGTATATACTAACATAATCCTGATAAAGAAATGGAAGGATTACACACTGGGTAGGTGTGCATGCATGCCCAAAATCCTGAGGAGAGAATAGAGAACAGATTGTGGTATGACCCTTCTGATCTTCTCTCTCTCTCCATCTCTCTCTCTCTCTCTCTCTCTCTGATGAGCCTAAGTACCCTATAAAAAATTATTTTTAAAAGAGGAGAAAGAAGTGGAAGAATTGCCACAGATTGTTCAAATTGGCTGGAGGCAGGAACAGTAGTGATTTGGGGCAGAGGGGTGATTAACTAGTACGGAAGAGCAGAGAGGGAAAAAGGAAAGAAATCCCAAGCATGTGTGCATGCGTGCCCAAGACCCCGAGAGGAGAATGGAGGAGAAGGGATTGCTGCGTGGCCATCCTCCCTGGGGGGTGATTTCTCGCTTTCTGTCTCTCTGTGTCTGTCTTTCTGGCAAGCGCACGAGCCCTATAGCAAAATCCTCTCCAAAAATAAATAAATAAGTCAATAAATAAAAATTTGAAGAAGAAATTAATAATTTTTAAAAGGTGTACATAGAAAAACAGTATGATAGAGCAAGTTCATTTGTGTAAGATTTTATTTTTATGTGTATATATGCATTAAGAGATTTTTGTTTTTGTTTTTGGTGTGTGTGTGTTGGTATTTTTACCTAGCACCCATGAAGAAGGTAAAATCCCTCCGTGACCCTTCTGCCAAAATGTCAAAATCAGACCCTGACAAACTGGCCACCATCCGGATAACAGACACTCCAGAGGAGATTGTGCAAAAATTCCGTAAGGCTGTGACAGACTTCACCTCGGAGGTCACCTATGACCCTGTCCACCGAGAAGGCGTGTCCAACATGGTCGCGATCCACGCAGCTGTATCTGGACTCTCCGTGGAGGAAGTGGTCCGCCACAGTGCTGGCATCGACACTGCTCGCTACAAGCTGCTGGTGGCAGAGGCTGTGATTGAGAAATTTGCACCAATTAAGAGTGAAATTGAAAAACTGAAGATGGATAAGGACCATTTAGAGAGTGTGTTACAAGTTGGGTCAGCAAAAGCCAAAGAATTAGCACATCCTGTGTGCCAAGAAGTGAAGAAATTGGTAGGGTTTCTATAGGCTGTTTGGATAATCACACACAAAAAAGCTTTTGTACCTTACATTCTGTGCACTCCAAAAAAGGTAGCTTTTTTCTTATAAGCAAAAAATTAAAGTTTTGGGACTGGCAGAGACATAATGGTTAAGGCTTTGAACTCCCACAATGTTCGACTGTGGTTCAAATCCCATACCCAGTGGCTTGTTTTCTCACTGCCCCCCACCTCTCTCTGCCTCTCTCTGGTCAAATTAAAAATAATAATAAATAAAATTAAATAAATAATTCAAAAGAAGTGAAATTTACTTTTAAAAATTATAGCAGAGAGGCATTTAATTTGGTGTAGCTGGCTACTGGCTTGGATGACTAGTGCTCTGTAGCCTTCAGATAAAGTGCTGTGACCAGGAAAGATAAAATAAAGAAGCATAACTGCCTTGATCCCCATTATCTGAGGCATACTCCCTGTCCAGATTTTATCTACACAGCTGCGATTGAGGTGAGCAGTAATTTTGGAAGTGGGATATCATTTGTGCTTCTCCCTGGAGTACTAACAGGTGGTCCCTTTGTCTACATCAACCCTTTTAAAAAGCAACTCTCAGGCGCTGGCATTGGATAATGATACTGCCTGGGAAAGATCCCCGGTTTGCATCCCAGGACATCCTTGAGCATACCAGGGCCACGTGCGTGCCTGTGATCCAGGCCGGCTGAGACTAGGGAAGGACCATGGAGTGCAGACCCTGTTGGATGTGTCTGATTCTCTCTCTCTTTCTCTCTACTCCCCTCTCTCTTGGAAGAAATGAATAAACTTTTTTTTAATAAAAGCAATACACAGAGGTCTTAGATTTATTATCCTTGAGATGCCATTTAATCCAATTTGTATTCGGATCTCATAAAAATAAGTCCGTTATTATAGCTCATTTGTCATTGAGATGGTGCCTGCCTGCACATGTTGAAGTTGCTCAACCTGTTTCCCAAGGGACCACACTGAAATTTCCAGCAAATTTTAAAGAGATACAGGATACTGACTTCTGAAAAGGCCACATTATTTCACCTTGATTGATTTATTGTACAAGAGCCCACATCCTTGAATTATGCTTTTAATAAGCTTTTCCTTGCATTCATCTGAGTTTAGTCCCACCAGCCCCCTGTGAAATAGATAGGAAAGGAATGGCCATTTCACATAGGAAAGTGAGGCTCAGTGAGTTCAGCAG